CAATTTATCGTTATCGTCAGAATGCTCTGAAATATCACAATATTATATTTGAGCCATATCGCCCACCCTTAATTGTTCACACGAAAAACAAAAATGTCTAATTCCTCATGGTACTAATTAAATAAGTTAATTAAATATTTTTACAACTTTTATTTTGAATGTGTCAGCATCTGCCACTCAAACATCTGCTGCCCCAGTGGAGGCGTATAAAATTATCCATAAAGGTTTTACCATTCCAGCACAGGATCTTACTTTTTTTTTAGTTTTTATAGATAATCCCCAAACCTTAGCTTTTACGTTTGTTTGTTTTTTTGTATGTGGACCTTTTTGGGGTAAAAATAATTCCAGATCAACTTAGCATTCAGTAATGCCCAAGTAAGGCAAGATTCTTGCCTTAACCCCAATTCATAAATAAAAGTTGTCCATTTTAGGACCCATTTAAAAGTGAAAGTGATTTCTTATCCTCACATATCCACAAACTTATGCAAAGTAGCTAATCTTTAGACCATAAGTGAATACGTTTCTGTGGTCACCATCAAGAAGGGAAAAATAATGAATATAAATTACCGACATAATTATCATCTTTACTGCTTTCCATGATATTGATTTGTGACCGCTGATCCCTGCTGAAGACACCAGTGAGCATCTCACGTGCCCAGCAGCAAGCCATCTTTATTCCTCTCATTTCAGTGGATCATAAGTGTGATGATTGTCTCCAAAGTCATTACAAAATTCATCAGTCCTCGGGCTGCTACGAGTCTGTAACTAATCTCCATAGTGATGAACTTCACGAGTCCGTCTCTTTGTCAAGTCTCTTCTTTGACTGGCTTTTGTTCGTTTGTTTGTTTGTTTTCTGTATTTTGTTTTCACCAGGTTTAAAATACTTTTAGGCCAAAACTTTTAATTTATATTATTAAAGTTGGGGGAAAAAAGTGTTAAAGTCTGAGGCTGGTGTAAATCAGAATAGCTCACTCTTCATTTATAGCACTTGTCTGCTTTAAATGTAAATGTCATGCTTATCACAAGGCTGCATGTTTTGTTTATTTGCCATGCAAATCTCTGGCTTGTCACTGCTTTTAGCTTCTGTTGACCCCAGAGATTTTACAGCCGTGACCAGGGGGGACAGACTGCTCCCCTCCTGCCTTCGCTGCGCTCTCCCACTTTTTGCCCAGAGACACATGCTACCGTCTCACTGGTTTTAATGTGCTCCTCTAGCTTGTTGGAGGATGAATAAAACATTACAATCACCTGCCAAGGAACCATAAAATCTACTTGACAAGAAAGTAAAATTGACACAAAATTGAGCTCATTAAATAGCCGGCGCTTTTTTTGTGGCGCAATATCAGGAGTAAACGACGAAGGAGATGGAGGTCGATTTGAGGTACAAAAAGGAGTGTTGTAGCTGGAGGTGTAGTGGTAAAAAAAAATAAAAAATGATAAAGATGTCAGAAATGAGTGAGTTTTGTGAGTATAACACAATACTCACACAACTTCTGTTCTTTTGTGCACTTTATTATAAGTTTGTATGGAAGTTCAGCATTATAAGGCTTTTTATTGTTATTTAATAAACTTTGTTTTGTTTTTGTCACTTATCAGATTTATTTGTATGTGGTCAACAATTGTTACTGTATTTAATCCTTCTACCCTCATCACGCAGACATGCTTTCAGCTGCCAGAAATGTTGTTGCGCTCATATGTTGTCTGTGTTAACTGTTGATTACTCTCCCATGATGTTGTCAGCCATTTTTTCTCATGTTTATAATAAATAATCCCTTAATTTTTGTCTCTCCTCCCTCTCTCATGAAAAACTCATCCTCGATTTGGCAACTCCCAACATCCCCACATGTTCCTCCGCCTCCTCCCCAATTCACACCGTCTGCTGATCCCTGTTGTCCACCCATACACTCCCCCATCCCTCCCTCCGTTCCCCGCCCCTTCTAATTCTCCTCTGTCTTCCTCCTTCCCTCCCTCCCTCCCTCCCTCCCTCCCTCCCTTGACTCCTTGTCGTTCTGCCCCTCCCTCTCTGCAGGACTTCTGGCAGGTATGGGGTGTGTGCCGAGTAGCATGTGTGCACCTGAATGAGAAAATGCACTTTGTAGTCACCACCTGTTCACTCTTCCTCTTCTTATCCTAACATTCTATTTATTCATTTTATATTTTTTGATTACTCACAACTCTGATATGATGCAGGGTAGAGATATTCACTTTTAATAGTTCAGGGGAACAGCTGAATAAGAACTTTCCTTTGTTGTATCGCAGCTTCAGCGAGTGTGAGACCACACTGCAAAGTACACTTTCACGTTATGTTTATGGCCAATTTGAATAGGACAGCAGCCAAACTGTGCATTTACTGTATATATTTTCTAACCAGACATCGTGTAGGGCAACTTAAATGCTGAATTTACATCTGGGGGGAAGTCAAACTATTAGAGGATGGAAGAAGATGATAATGGCATGATCTAAATGTTGGAGCCTATGGCATAAACACAAGAATAACCTTTTGAGATGTGTTTATGTAAAAAAATAAATAGATAAAATCAGACTTGGCTGCAGAGAACCACTTAATTTGTTGCCCTAGGCCTTCCTGCTTCTGCCTTGTTTTAATTTCACATATCAGGGCACTAGAGTTGCTTATATCAGTGGTTCCAAACTCTGTTCCTTGAGGAACACCATCCTGCATGTTTTATTTATTTCCATGCTCCAACACACCTAATTCAGTGGTTTAATTACTTCCTCTCGTTCTGTAAAAGCCTGTTAATCACCCATTTATTAAAATCAGGTGTGTCTTAGCAGTAAACAATGAAAACATGCAGGATGGTGTTCCTCAAGGGCCATGGCTGGGAACCCCTGATTTATATCACTCGCATAAATGTGCATAGATTTGTTTGTTAATGGCATTCATGTATGTTTTGTGTAGGTATGTGAACTTTGACTTGTGTGTCCTGCAAAACAAGCAAGTCTGAAAGTATCGGCAAGTTTAATAATAAGTTGATCTAAGTGCAGCACACGTAAGGTTAGAAGCTGTTCACCATGAAAAGAATGGGGAGGTGTCTGCAAGTGTAGTGGCCATACAGCTCGCTGTATGTGTGCACTCACATGAAACTCAAATTCTGGATTGTTTTTTTGACTCCACGTTGGAGACCTTCCATTTGGCCTTTTGTTTAGCTTGTCGAAGGCAGCTGTGTGCCATGCCTCCCCTGCTGAATTATTGAAAGTAAAGTCTATACTTTGCCTCAGCAGGTATTAATAAATGCTGCAGCCTGTTCCATAATTTACTTTACAGACGTCAGTCCCCCAAAGTGAAGTTCATTTATGTTTAAGGTGAAATTTCTCTGAAGAAGTGTCAACTTTTTCAAAGCTGAGACGCAAAGAGCAGCTAAAATGGATAGCATATAGAGAATTGGTCAGTGTCAAATAATAGCAGTGCTGTTCCCCTGCACTTCCTCTCTCTTGCTTTACAAACACCTGTTCTCTTCATCATTTCATTTCTAAAGAAATATCAGCTACAGCTTTCCACATGCTTTGGTGCTCTAGCTGTTTTTCCAGCATGTACTGCTCTATTGCCTGTGCCTCAGAGACATAGTAGCTGGTGGTGGTGCCTCCTCCCTGTGCATGGTGGCATCATAGGGTGGTTTGGACTTGGATAATGGCTCCGTTAGCAAATGTCAAGGCTGTATTGATGTGCTTGTTATCCTTCACAAATCCATCCTCTGGATTGTCCAGATGTCAGTGCTGCATGAGTATTTTTTAAAAGCATGGTAAAGAGTTTTTGAAATCAGGACTTGGTCTGTTCATCTAAATTTACTCAAAGTATTCTGCGTGCTCTGGGCCTTTCTCCTTTGCAAAACCAGACTGTTTTCTGTGTGACCCGCTGAGATGGAAAACACACACCTGTCACTAACTGGGAATTCACAGGATGCAGCTTAAACACAAACGAGTTTCTTTTCACTCCAGCTGGTATCATGTTCACCCTTTCTGACTTCACAGGAACCTCCCTGGAGCAGCCTTTTGGACTGTCACTGCTCTGTTTTTGACAATATTTCTACTCGCTTTCCAATTTTCACTTGTTTTCCCTGACTTTTCTTTCTGCTCTCATGTTAACACACATCTTCATATCACATCACTCTTAAAATGTTTGAGGTTGGGTTGTTTCTAAACTTGGACCGCTGATTTGTTTCTGTGAGCCAGCTGCACTTCAATTTAAATTTGCGGTTCGTTTAGAGAACAAATCTCTAAAATGTGCTCCCTGAGAAATCACAAGTTATTAATAAAGCACCTGATATGGGATTACCTCAGGGATTAGAGATGGAAATCAAATACTGTAATGTTTCTTACCTGGACACATGCCTGTCTGCCTTAATCTTGGTAGTATTTTTTTTCTCATTCATTCAACCTTTATTTAAACAGATAAATTACATTGAGCCTCGAAGACTCATTTACAAGAGAGACCTGTTTGGACAGTCAATAAAAAGTGGTGAAAATGGCAAATACGGTTTGGAGAAAAAAAGTTCCTAACATATCTTTGCACATACATAATCTTTGGCTGAATGTTAACAGCATGATAATGAGAAAAACCTCGCATGACTAGCACATAATGGTGCCCACATTCCGTGGGGTGGGGATGGGGGGGTGACGCAATGGTGGTGAGCGTGTCCAGAGACAACGCACAGAGGCACTGCAGAGTTCAGATAAGATCACTCAGTTCAAGTAGTTCCCTCTGGAGAGATCTGTGCACACTCGGGGGTGCCGAGGAATGGCCAAGGACGACGTCAGAATAGAATCCAAAGAGTTTGGGCCCATCTGATTGGTCCGTAGACTTCCTCGGTGGGAGGGGGGAGGGACAGAGCATCAAAGGTTTACAAAACTTCCAGGTGTGTTAAGATAAGGTGGCCTGTCAAGGCCGGTCAGGGAGCCGAATTCAAATGAACACGATTGTTTTGGGGACAGGCAGAACTTTACCGACTTCTACTTGAGTCTGTGTCTGTCCTCTCTGTTCCGAAACGTCCAAATGAAATGGCCACACCAATGGACCTTGCCTGAGAATAATTCCCCGAGATCTAATCCATTCTGGCAAAAGCATTTGAGTCTGGGTGCTTGAGGCACGAACTAAGCCATCATGTAAGGCAGGCAACCTGACCAGGGTCAAATTTGCTGCCGACGACTTCCTTGAATGTTGATAAACCAGAAACCAGCCGAATCCAAAAAGCAGGAAACTATTTGACATAAATCCAATTATATATGCGTCCTTAACATCCACGATTGACAGCAGAAATAGACACATCATCAAGTCTTCCAAGTCGATGAGATATCCAGCTGCGTGCGTGCCAACAGGGCAAATCGGCTCACCTAAAGCCTGTCTTCTCTTCGACGAAAAGTTATCAGTTGCGTTGAGGGACCAACTGACCAAATATATAGCAGAAGTATGATTCGTAAGATTTGTAGAAGAGAGGCTCTAAAGCAGTTTCACAGAGGACCTTAGGCCTTAATGCTATTTTCAAGAAAGTATGGGTAAATATTGACATGTGATTGCTTGGAAAGTCACAGATCTTTATTATGTCAAAATATGTCCTACTCCGCTCCCGTTTCCTGGAAAATCTTGCAAAAAGATCTGAAGTTCTCGACCTTGACCTTTCTAAGTGGCTTCAAACATCTATTAAGTTCATGGCAAAGTCCAATGCAGACATATTCCTGTTTTTAGTTTTCTACACCGCCTTATAAGCTAGACGGTTTTTGGCTACGTTTTCCTTTCGACTGTCCTTTTGGTTGCCATTTTATTTTAACTTGTAAAAATATAATTAATAATTTGTATGCCTCTTATGATTAATGTTGTCGTCGTATCCACTGTTGTCATCACTCGTTAAAAAAATCAGGTCTCTCTTGTAAATGAGTCCCCAAGGCTCAATGGGATTAACCTGTATAAATAAAGGTTGAATGTAGTATGAAACATGAACATGCATGCTGACGTTGTTGGACTGTATGTAGTGTATGAGCTCATACACTCAGAGCTTTCAGCTATGATCCAAAAATACCAAGTTCAAACCCCGGATGACTTTACCTTCCAGCAGTCATTCTGAGTTTTGTCCCCCCCTGACTTGTGTTTTATGTCGTACCTACTAAAGTGACAGAAAGCCCTGAGCTATATCGTCACACACAGCAGCACAAAGGACATACAGGTACAGATTTATACGAAACGTTTTTTCCTCCACATATCTTTTGCACTTGTTCACACTGCACGTGAACAAAAGCATCAAAGTCAACCAAAATAAATTGCCTATAATAGTTTGCTTGTGAACTTAAGCTGCTTTAACTTTTGTCAGTAGTTTTATAAGACATTTTAACTTAACAGTGGGTAACTTAATTTTCATGTTTAGCAAATTAAAATTCCTTAGTTTTCACACACAAACAAGACAGTTTGGTTTATTAAATTAATGGTAATGGTTCAACTTATACCGCTAGTCTCTTTCTTCCTTTCCCTTTGTGTCCTTGTTCTTGGGGTGACAGCCGCTGCAGTGTTGGCCACAGATCTTATCGGTGACGAAGCACTGCAGCTTGTACACAGACAGCCAAGTTTAAGCAGCTTTCAGCTCTCAAGTCAAATGCTGGGACACGGTGATGGTGGAGGAAAATCCCTGATCAAGGTTAAACTGGATGAAAATGGATGAGTTGCAAACAGTATTTTTATTGCATAATTCATGTAAAGTAAATGTAAAGTAGGATTTCTTCAGCATCGTTTTCCCCACCTATCCATGAATGTGATAGGAATGGATGTTATTTTGTTGGGGATGAGTTGTAATAAATTTCAATTTGTACCAACAGCAGTTAAGCCAAAGCTAAATGTTGACTGTAAGGTGAGGCTCCGTCTTGTTGAAGCTATAAAATTCACGGTTGAAACCGTGCCTTCGTGTAAAAGGTTGTTTTTCTCTGCAAAACGAAGCTGAGAACTTGTTTACCGATTTTTAATTAAAAGCTTTGTGTGAAAAATGCCATGCTAAAGAGCTCAAACCACACCGAGCGTCCGCCATTTTGAGAACCGAAAAACAG